TTCAAATCCTCTGTTGCTTGTTTCCTCTCCCACCTCGCTGGTTTCACCGAGCAGCCTGCTGAACCATGCCGTCTCCTCATTGATGGTCAGCGCTGATTCACCCTATGTCCCGCAAGTTTGTCTCCCAGACGGTACCAACGGTGTTTCCGTTGGCCAGAACGCAATAAATGCAGTCAACAGCGAGTCAGCCACCTCATCCACCGGGGTTTCCGCTACCCTCACATCTAGTCTGATTAATGTTGGACCTAAACGGTTACACGTTTCCAACATTCCATTCCGCTTTCGAGAAGCAGATTTACGACAGTTACTCGGAGTGAGTGAAAATCACTACTGTTTTCATTGTTTTAGGTCACGTTCACACATTGTTCACTGTAGTGCTGGTCAAGTGACTTGTTCGATCACGTATCACAGCCTTTCGGGTAGTATGGTAGCTAGACACCGAGAGATGATTGTTATTAATGTTTTAAGTACAGTCACGTGCTCGTTGCGAAACGAATTTTTACCTAGTGGGCTGTGACTCGCAACACGTATATGATTCTGCCTTGTAGTTTTTAACAAAGTACTTCACAAACACACACAGATCATTACCTTTCTCATCGCTTTCCAGTCATTTGGTACTATACTGGACGTGGAGATCATATTTAATGAACGCGGATCCAAGGTAGGTTTGCGAAATTTGGCCTACCTTATTCGGTCTACCTTGAAATTGATAGCGTTCCGATGCTTTCAGTGTGGAGCAAAGTTAGCTTTCCGATCCGAATCTCTGAGCGCGGGATTATTTTGCTTTTGACTACGAAGTGGCAAGCTGCTTCAGAAATTTTGTATACGGCGGTCCCTCCGATAAAAAGGCACTCACGGGGAACGGTCCAGTTGGTTGCGTTTGGGGGGTGGTTTGTCGCAGGGCACATATATACCTCAACTTTTCACAATAATCAAATCGACGAATACCCCGGTGCAAGGACTACCCTTATCACCCAAGGAGAAAGTTCGCTAGTGAGCCTTCAACCTACAGAAGCCAACTGAAACTGCGCGAGAGGTTCTCGTTTTGGTCCGACTTGTGAGGGACCTCGTTGTGAATAGCTTCACTCTTTTGTGGGCGTTCCGTCCAACGGGGCACAACTCTAGTGTCGATGCTCTCTAAAGTTGAGTTAATTCGATATGTTTATAGTAAATGTCTGACAGATAATTACACGGATCTACCTCGTGTGGCGTTATCACGCAGTCTACCGAGATTTTCCGGTTGTACCTGATTAGTCCCACTAAAGTGCAAGTTGGAAGTAAACTCTGACCGAGGAGGGGCCGATTTGTCCTTTTTAGTGTTTTCTCCTTCCAAACATAGCCTTAAGTGGTCTCATCTAAAAGGTGGCTTTTGCAGAAGTTAGATTATCCAATCACATATACCGATTTTAGGTCAGATCCTTACTTGACTGGACGATGTAACCTTGTAAATATCTCCCCCGTCAATAACTTCCACTGACAGGTTCGCTGAGTAGTTGGCCCGTCTCAGTTAGTGTTTGAAAGATATCTGGCATTTGCCTCGCTATTTGAAAATGTCTAAATTTCCGAATTTTTTTGAATTTATAAAACAAAGTAGAAACACATTGTCAGTCGTTTCTGCGACAGTTCTGGGCAGCGAGGGATAGTCAACGCATGACATACAGGATGGAATATAAAGAAGTCCTCGAAAGGGTGTTTCTTCTTCGGAAGTATAGGATTATGCCTTGATGGGGGTGATGTTATATATCCTCCAGCAGGGAAGCCTCTGTTCTACGGTGTATCTTGCAGGACTATTAACGTGCAACAGTTTGCGTCATCATATTTTCAAAACGGTGTTTCAAAGAACTCTGTTTTCCTACTCACATATATGAAATCAGAAGCTTTAAGGATGGGCTGAAGAGTTTGAGGATTACTGGTCTACACAAGCATTCAAAACCGCCCCGGGAGTGTAACTAATGTGTTAGCTGTTCTTCAAACTTTGTTGCGTTTTCTCTAGCTAGGTTCGACTTTTTGTTGTTTTTCGCACTGTCAAGTCTCCGCAGCCTAGTAGGCTATTGAACTTTGGTCTGTCTGTTCAATTATGGATGACAAAAATCTATTTTCGAGTCAATTCAGATTAAAAATCGTGTTTAAAAACCGCACCCACGTTGGAAAAAAACTTTTATGTCTTACAATAAGTCAGGTACTTTCTTGGTGCCTTAATTTGAGAAGTTCTAGAGCCACGAAGATTACATCTTGGTCTTCGTTGGGAGGGATACTCGATTCTCATGAATACGTAGAATGATTTTTGTTGGAAATCTGGCAGTAGTATCTTACGTGGTATCAATTTGGAGGCAAAGTTTACAGGACCGAAGTGAAGTGGCATAATTTGGGTGTTTTCTTCCCCGAATGAGGGGGGGCTAATAAATTTGTACTAAAGCGTTATTTTTCACAAAAATTAAAAGTGCAAGCAACATCAACAAACATGAAAACGAGAGAATTTGAAAAAAAAGAACTAATCCAGGGAACTCATGCCGCTGAAAATTTTGTCAATCATGCTAGATAAAAATAGAGATTCCTTTATGAAAATATGGTGCGATATCTCGAATATGAAGCATGAGGTGGCCTCTGTGCAGCAGATTCAGTTGAAGGACATCATAAACAAGAGATTCAGTTGAGTCTCTCGTGAAAACCAATTTGATTTGCAAATGAGTGTAGTTGTGGTAACCAGCCCAACTTGGGTTCAGGTAGAACATAAGGTTGACGGAAACTCGGGGACTGCGCCCAGCTGATGAGCCCCAAGTAGGGCGAACCAGGTCGTGGGCTATCGAAGCGATTTCAGCAATCTTGCGAGTAGTTTCCTTTACGAAAACCTACGGTTCACTCGAAGAGAACAGTAGTGGTAGGATCCAGTCGCAATATTGAATATTCCTTAAGGCCAAGAAAGCGTTATCCCAATCGAGTCTCACGCACCAGGCGCAGACTATCGGTCACATAAGATCAGGTGTGAAAGACACAAGCAAACAGTCCCCACTTGTAAACAGACATGGATCACTGACTGACCCTGGGAGGCCTTAGTCTCACAGCAAATTTGACAGAGTGGAGATAACAGAAGAAACTGTGAGAAATGGCAAGTGTGCCGTGGAACGAAATAGCAGCTTTGCAACTAACGACAGCCAATCTCTATTCGTCAGAGAGAGAGAGAGAGTGCAGTCCAAACGTCCCTTGAGTTCCCCCAAAAAAACCTGTTATGACGAACACCTTATGTAGTTCAACAAGACTTTACTGCATGTACCAAACTTGCCAGCGAAAGGGATGCATGTGCCTGGAGTTCCTTAATCGCCTAAAAAAATCGCTTCGAAGGCCAATGTCACGGAAAGCTCTGGAAGCAAGCAAGCCACAAGCCCGAAAGTGATAAAGCAAACAGCTTCTGTAATTTATTACCATAAGCATTGTCACGAATCCCGTCACCCTATATAGCCATCATCTATCTGGTGCGTATCTAGGACCCGGATATGAAGGTTGAGTTTCTAACGCCAGTCCGAATGACAAATCAATGAGCACACTGCGCGGACAACAGTTCGTCTATTTGCTGCACGGTCACAGTCGGCAAATGTTCGAGACGAGATTTTTTGTAAAATGAGTGTAGAAACTGTGGGAAAACGGAGTTTATGATGATCGATACTTGAAACTGCAACCTTCCGTTCCTCTCGTCAGAGAACAATCTATGAAAGTACAAGACAGGAATGGTTGTAAAAGGAAGTGTCCCATTCGACCGTACGGGGTTAGATTCGGAGCCTGAATGTGGTAAACACCTCCTCAAACGGTGGCGAGATCCCCAGGAGGACGTCTACATTCAACCTGACTCTGGATTGTTCATCAAGAGAAGAACAGAGCACAACTGAATTCTCCTTACAAACGTAGCTCCGCAGCATATGAACTATCTGCCATGCGATCTCCTGTAGTTAGTGGTGCTTGGCATTCAGTTGCCTGCAGTACTCCTTGTACCGTCCCTTGATCCATCTATCACAGTGGGTGCTGTATCTTTTCACATTTTGATCACATATATTCCGGATCACCACAAAGTTGACCCGACAGACAAAGCTCGCACTGGTAACCAGTGTTCCTCGTGCGCTAAGCGTATAGATTGGACGTGTTCATATGTCACGATGCCATGTTGGAACCCTGGAGCAAAATCCCAAGTCCCAGCCTCGGTGACTGAACCTTCAGAGTCAACGTCGAAGATGACAAGGTGCATTTTACGCATTGCTCGAACCAGACACTATAGGTTTCCAAATCCGGACAGAGCATTTAAACAGTTGGTCTCGATATTGCAGGCAAACATTGGTAAAGCGTGTCACACAGCGCAGTCCGCTTCTCACGCAACCGTAATGATTTGTTAGCTAAGTGTAAGGTTGACTTGGACTCAAATCGCGGACAGAAACAGTTGGAACAATCAGGATAAGTCAGTTGGGCGATAAGAACCACGGCGATGGACACGACACAGGCATCGTATGTAACCTTCCTTGTGTAGTGATTGAAACTGGTGCAGGAGCCGCTAGCCGGACCATGTCGTTGATAGTCGAACCTAACCAGTATGGAAACGCCAAACGCGGTGGTTGGTTCCATCATCTTGCATTGTTAAACTCCCTGCTTACGCTGTCCGCGCTATCCGCGCGGAGAATCAGGTCGGTGTGGTGACTGTGTTTCTGTACACTTTACTATCTATGCCATTCTATACATAGGCACTCATTAATAATTTGCGGTGTCTTTGCTTTGCATCGCAGGATAAGTCGTAAGAGAATTTGTACAAATTTCGTAAGCAGAATAGCATATCAACAAGTTTTTCTCTCCCTTGAGTAACCAAACGGCGGGTGCAAATTTCCCGTGAGATTCCGAGCCAAGTAATCTTCAGGTCTTTTTCACAAAAGAAACTACTCACAAGGTTGCTGCAAACTCTTTGACAGTGCACCGGTTTCGCCCTTCTTGGGGCTCATCAGGTAGGCGCGGTCCCCGAGTTTCCATCAACCTTATGTTCTACTTGAACCCAAATTGGATTGTTTTTGAGGAATACACTCATTTGCAAATCAATTTGGTTTTCACGAAGGACTCAACTGAATCTCTTCTCAGTCGGTCACAATAGAACTATCTATAAAAACTCAGGTTTTCTGAACGATCCAACAGGAGTAAAACCAACTTTCACAGTTACAAAGTTATTCTTGGTCCGGTTCCAGTCCGTGGCTACTCTCTGCTGAAGAACACAATTGTCTTGGGACCACACGAGATTCGGAATTCATGTAGGAGAGACCAGGACGTCAAAAATATCGAATACGCACCCCGGCAAACAATACACAGACGAAATGGTACAGATACTGGACAAGACTCGAACCAGTGAGCTCCAGCTTATCGGTTGAGTTCGACAACAATCGAGTTGAGACAATTAATATGGACTTATCGGTTGAGTTCGACAACAATCGAGTGCACACACTCAAGTGCACACCTGTGACGCCGGAAAATGTCTCCGGTATATCAGTTGTCAGCGCACTCGTTCGGAATGTTGGAGGCCACGAGTTCGAGTCTCGTCCTGGGACTTGCTCTATTCGCATTGTATACTTTGGTCCACATTCAAGACTGATGGAATTCACTACATCCGATGTGTCTTATCACTTGGTATTTATTAGAGAG